TATTAAATCATACAAATTACAAATTATCTTTCACAAAGTACAAGCCCATTCAGATAACTATCTTAATGAGCAAGCAGTTTCTCTTGCCAAACAACACCCACTGTCACCACTTCTTTTATTTAACTACACAAATCTCTACAACCCTTATTATATTCTCCAATGAGAACACCATTATGTTGAACTTCTTACAAGGCACTTTATTAAACAAATCTGTAAAGCCTACATCTTAGCTATATGGGTATCACAAAAATGAAACAGTGAATGATCATACTTCAACCAAGACATTAATTAGAGATCCACTTGGCTTTATTTTAATTACAATTAAAAACCCTTATACAATATTACCAACTTTAGACTTAATCAACTTAAATCTTTTAAAACAAAAATCCTTCTTAATGAGTTGCCAACATACTCATTATATCATACTATTTACCTAAGCCAATATCCAGACACTATTTACTTCTTTTGTAATTTACTTAATTCTTATTCCCACTAGTGCACTTGTGCTAATTCATTCTTACTCGATCAAATTATTCAAACTTTTACTAACTAAATTATTTCTAATAACTTGTTTAACCTTGACACCAACCATAAACATAACTTAATTAATAAAATTCTTCATCACCCAGCTCTTAATTCTCTATATACATTACCTAATACTTACTATTCCAATCTTATTCTTAAAGGACTTATCCCAAAGTCTCTTATATCAATAGTTCAAAACTCTGACATCTTATACAAAACAGCCTCTCAAGTTATTATTAATATTATTCTTAATATTAATGAACAATTATATGAGCAACTATGAAAAACATACTGTATCTACTTCTCCAATTAGAAAAACCAACAAAACAAACACTAATCTTAACCAATTAACCAATCTTCAAGATCATTCAATTCAATTAGAAAATATACTTACTTTCAAAGCTATTACACTTACTCATACCTTTGTGAACTTTCTGATCAATTATATTCTCACTTAAATATATGCCCTCCTATTGGCCAAGCAATTCACAAAATTAATATTTAGTCTATCTTATAGATCAAATATAGCATATCATCAAATTATATATTAAACATTCAAATCTAGATAAGCTTTGATCACTCTAGTAGGTTTAGGTCACAAATAAACTAGTCTGAGCTTTTATTCTTGCATGTAATTTTCAATTTATTTGTTTTATACAAATAGTAGTAGCTATATAGTTAGCAGTTTAATGGTTAGCTCTAACTGCAAGTATTAGCCTCAGCCATAGCTATATATATATAATTATTTTAAATTATTAATAAAGATATAAGCAAGGCCTTACCTTAATAACAAAAAAAAATAATAAATTTTTTTAATTCAAACAATTTAATTTTTTAATATAATTTATAAATTGATATTACAAACAATTATTAAAATACTTTTTAAAATTAATAAACTTTATTATAAACAACTTTAAAAACTGTACTATATAAATTTTTAAATTGAAAAAATAACAAAAATTCAAATTTTTATATTTCAAATTTTTAATACAACTTAACTATAATAGACAAACTAATTATATATGCTAAACATATATATATTCTTGTCTATATGATTTATCTAATTAAATATATTTTAATACCAATACATGCCTATCTATTAGTTATGTTATAAGAAAAATTAAAATATAAACTATTTTATAAATCAAATATAATATATTATTTAATTATATTTTAACAATTCAAATTTAGATAAGTCTTAACCATTTTAATAAATTTAAATAATAAATAAATATATTAAAACTTTTATTCTTAAATATAATTTTTCTATTTTTGTACTTAGAGTTGTTACATATAGTTAACAGTTTAATGGTTAGCCTTGATTGCAAGTGTTGATCCTAACCATATTATTTATATAAAATTATTATTTGTACTCAGTAACTCCATGTAGTTACTAACCTTAAAACTACGAATAAAAGATACAAGAAAGGCCTTACCTTAATACCAAAAAAAAAAAAAGTTTAGTAACAGCTTTTCAAAAAAAAGCATGACAGCAATTTTTGGTTAAAGAAACTCTTCGTAAAAATAAAATTTCAAATTTTTGTTCAAAGAAAAAAAGTCGAACAATTATTTAAATAAATACATCCCGTGATTACCCGATGGCATTGCTTATCGGGAAATCTCGTGATGTACCTGACTTTAGCCAACCCCTATTTACGGAAATTGTTGACTCAGGATAACCAATCATTTTAACCGTCTCTGCTGAACCTAAATCCGATGGTTTCTCATGTAAAAATAGAGTATATCAGCCTAAATTTGATGCGAGTTATATGTTAATTGTCTTCAAATATACCTTTTCACATACGGACATTTGTACGTATTACGTATAATCTGTACAGAGATAGTCCAATTGTCCAATTTTCTCAACAGATACTGTACCAAAAAAGCAAGGCTTGTTAATAGAAGGGATGTACATCCATAATGTTTATTCCGAGATGCAGGCTATGATGAAGGGTGTAACTTTATTCGTACATGTGGTAGTGTGAGCTTTTCAGGTGCAGTGAATATTCGAAAAGCTAATCTGGTTAAAATCCGTTCGACTACATGAAATATTTTTTTTGATATTGGAATCGTTAGATGTATCCGGATTTTTCAAGTGTATTATTATGGATTGGATCTTTATTAATTTCCTTAAATATTAAATTAAACGGAATTTAAATGAATTTATCTATATTTAAATTAGTATTAAATAACAATGAAGATCCAATTCCAATAATATGCCAAAATGGATAACAAAAATATCAATACAATCAACATACTACGAGGAAAAGTAGCATAAACTCTCACTTAAGGAATAGAGATGGCAAAGTACGTATACTTGAGGCCAGAAGAAGCTTGATCTTAAAAAGAATTCTATTAAAACCGTGGTTCGATCGTATAGTCTATCACGTGATGCGCCAATCGTCAACCCAATTTCATCCTATGCATATGCTCAAATCCCAAGTTTATCTAGTGAAACATAAATAAAAATGCTTTGCATGTGTCTTCACAGGAAAAATCATAAAATTGTAATCATTTGATCCTTTTTTTCACAATGAAACTTGAAAAATTTTGTTAGAAAGATTTCCTACCTTATTTATGCAGGTCAGCATGCTTATCAGAGCCTTCTCCTATAAAATGGTTCGTGATTGGCATAATTACAGAACCATTGATTCGCAATTTCCAAAACAATTGTAATAGCATGTGACCTTTTCAGCCGTTATAAATTAACACAGAGCTGAAAAGAATATATATCCTTCAACCTTTTTACAACAAAAAAAAATTTACATTTTTGTGATTTAAATAGTATTCGAGTGCAATTTTGCAATCATGACAGCTTCGCCACCTCATGCAACCAAGACTATGTCAAAAGAAAGTCTATTAGCAGGTACCATTCTTCTGACACCGTAATTTAATTTGGGTTTTTTTTTAATAATTGTATCCCATTCGTTTACTTTTCTAGATTCTTTACCATCTAGAATTCTCAATGAGTACGAAACTAGGCAGACACTTAACGCTAACTTTGGCGCTATGGTAACGAGCTACAACTCTGTAAACGATGATACAGGAACTGGCAAAGGTCTAGTACACTACCTCATGAACCCTCGTGAACTTCGAGAAGATCATCCAGTTTGGCATTACTTCTACCTCTGCACACTAATATTCGCTGCATTTGTTTCGTTATTTATTGGTCCTGTCATTTTTGGTATGCTAGCAGCCATTGGAGGCATTGGTACCCCTTTGGCACTGAGTTTTTTTGGTGGTGCAGTGGGATTAATCTTGGGAGTTGTTTTCGGAGTCGTGTTTGCAGTTGTTTGCATTGTTGCGCTTGTTAGAATACTTGGAATGAGCGCCGAATGGGTTTTGGATACCCTTTGGCACGGAGGAAATGATTTACTAGAAATTAGCAGACAACAGGTTCTTATGTTGTGTAATATTCCTAGTAGCAACCATCATCATCAGCGTTAAATTTTTTTAATGTCGAAAAGGGTATCTTGGCACACTGTTTTGTCATAAAGCATATTTATAGCTTTTTTTTTCCTTTGTATAATAAAGTTATATGTGCTAGACTGGTCTAGTACAGTATTATCGAAAGTACTTTAACTGATAAATACTACTGTTGGAATGAACATGCCATAAATAGCAAAGTAGGTATGCTAGATAACCAAGACTCAGACAGTTCTTCAAACGCTAACCATGAGTCTTTTTGTACGCGCCTCGGAAATAATGTATGCTTGTTCAAATTTCTGATTTAGACATCAGCCCTAAGGTTGCCTAAAAATTTTTGATGTACAGTCAACTCTTTCTTTATCGAACCCTCAGGATTTATTCAGAGAATGAAAAAAAAGTCCAGTTTAAAAAGTATATTTGTGTCTAAACCGAATGCCGTAACAAAAAAGATGCAAAAATATTTATGTCACTGGGTTATATCCCATCGAAAAGATGTGCTGACATGTCTTTCTGCATAGAGATTGGATCCGTTCTACCTGGGTATTATTATCTGGATGAATTATGTATTTCGGGTAATTATATAGCAACAATTTCTACCCGGGTCCAATCCCATCTATAGTTTAGACAGTGTGTTCTGTTTATCCAAATCAATTGATTACAGCTATTATCATAATTTCTGGGACACCTGCTCATTACCCGAAGTCTTTTTCGTCGTCCGGTAACTCTCCAGAAACTACATCACTGTCTTTGGGCCTTCAGTTCGGAGGCAGTGATGTAATTTCCGGAGTGTTAGGTAACTTACCGAACGACCAAAAAGATTTCGGGTAAGGAGCAGGTGTTCCAAAAATTTTGATAATAGCTGTAAGAATCGATCTATACTATTTGTCATCCCGGATATTTTATATCGTGTTTTACGGATAAATCCGATCCTACAAGAGTTAATTCTTTATAAACTCATATCTTTCCTGATTGGCAAAATTTTCCCAAAGTACGAGTTTTGATAAGTAACATTACAAACATTTACTAAGGATATGTGATTTAAGATCAGATTATTTACATTTCATTGACAGTCAGATCTATTATATTCATATAGCTGTTCATTAGTTAATTGTAATATCAAATTACCTATTCTACGATCAAAATTTTTTCGGATATTAACCTACATAAGAGATTGTTATGTTATTTAAATCATATGACTAAAGTTTTTATAAGATTCATCACCAATCTACCTCTAGTCTAACAATATATCCACTTCATTAACAAAATGACAGTCAACAAGATAGTTTATTAAATTGAGTTATACTGCAGTGTTGTCAATTGGACAATTTTGATCATGTTTTAGACAAGTTTTCATATGGCCAAAACCTTGTCCAAGACTATTAAAACTGTTAAAAAATATCCAAAAGCCATCACTGTTGTACAGTACTAAACAAATGATCTGAGCGATTAATTAATTTCTCCAAAATTGCATTCCATTAAACGGAAGAATAACAGTAACAAGCCTTCGACACCTTAGGTTACTTGAAGTTGAATTTTCGGTTAACATCACTTTTAAAACTTTTGAGAGGGGGAATAAAAGAAATGAACATATAAAATGAAAAAATTTGATTGGTCGACGTAAATCATGTGATTAGTGAGAGTTATTCAGCGTTTTCATTGGTTGTTCATTTTCTTCGGCTGGGGGGTGATGTTAACCGAAATATAAAAAAAATGACTATTGCTAATTTTCACCCTAGTGATATCATCTGGTTGTATAAAAAAACCAATCAGATCGCTGGATCTTGGCATCGATTCTAAGCAAAACTTTTCAGAGTCAAATTTTACATATATCTAAACTCTTTTAATCTCCCTAACAATAATTTATTTACTTGTGATAAAAATTTTATAATATTGGGTAATATCACTTAGGGTTTAATCAAAAAAAATTGTTCATGCTTTATTAACCAATCAGCTAATTAAATTTGATTATGTAATTTCAAAATTTGGCGCCTATGCAAATTTTTAAGAGCAAATTAATGTGATATTCTAAAATTAATTGGCTAATTATGTAAGAGATCTTGGGCAGAATTAAAGAATATAAAGTTTTCGAAAAGAAAAATGAATGAACATAAGAGACTAGCAAGGTCATAACAAAATTTTGAGCAAATCTCCTATATTTTCTGAAAAAAATTGCTAATTAATTCAAATTTAAAGATCTTTATTACACAAATAAATTGAGATAGATTTCAAAAGAACTCTTTTTCATAGATCATTTTATCAAAATTGGACAAAAGAAAAAAAATTTTATATCGAACATAGAGCAATAACTACTAAGTAAATCGACCTTGGACCATTAAGTAAACTTGTTCTAAACAGTAAACTTGACCTAAAAGAGGTGCAAACCTCAGGAAAAAATATTTACTAGCAGCCTTGAATTACAATAACATCAAAAACAGCACTGCAACAAACAACTCACAACTTAGCGAAAGTGATTCTAAGGACCTTTACATCTTTACTAACTCAGCATATAGGCATAAGATGACAGCTTCAAAAAATAGCAAAAAAACTATAGATAACCTACAAACCAACTCACCACAAACTCCAAACCAAACAACCTTTCAAGACACTTTTTTTTCTTCACCAATAGTTTATTTTATTGGAAAATCTACCAGCTCAAGTAATCCTATACCTACAACTTTAATCGTCAATCCTCCTATTGAATATACAAAAGAATTCATCAATATTACTATAAAAGACCTATCTAAACTTATCTTTACAGTTACTTTTCTTATTCCTAGCTTCACTGACAAATATCTCTTTACTGTAGATCTTATCAAATCTGGTCGTATATCTAACCTTATTTCATTCCCAACTCAATGGTTATACAAATACAAAAAACCATCCCAATCAATACTTTTTGACCTTACAACAACAAGAAACAACTCTGTAAATATTAGAGTCAAATATCCCAGAAGTACACGCAGTTGTGACCTTAACTTAACAATTCAGTTATATGAAAAATCCCAAAAGGAATACAAGGCACCCAAATTTAATAAAAATTTTTTATTTATACTATACAATATAATCACAGAACTTAATACAGAAGATGAACTATCACAAACAAGCAATATTTCACAAGATGATGAGCTTACATTCGATCTTACTGCTGGTCCTGTAGCAAATATTACACAAACACAGTCATTAGTTACTACACTACATAATACCACTCAGACAATACAAGATACCAATACCAAAAAAAACAAATGCCTTTCCATCTCACAACATAATTCTGCCAAAACTACCAGACTTATAACAAAATCTTTCAAAACCCAATCAACAACCAATCAACACCAAAGCAAAAAATGACCCAAGCTCCAACTACTTAATACACAAATAATATCTGAACCAGAATCATTCAATGCTACAGCTATAGCATCCCCAATTTCTACAACTACAATATCTGATAAACTTAACAATACCATATTTACATACAGCCAAATTACTTAAAAACAACTCAACATACCTAGGTTTAATGATATTATGACTCAGAATGGGCAGAAACTATACAGGTCAGAATTACTGAACAAATTAATACCTTATTTGATCAACAAACTTGGTCATATGAGAAAATTGCTGATGCACTTCAAACACCAGCTGGCATTCAGGACTTCATTGATCATAAAATTGTTACTATACCAACTGAATTTGTAATTCC